ACTGGGCACAGTCTTCTGTGTTGAAGAATATTCTCCTCCAAAAAACCCTTTCAAGATCTTTTGAAATCACCAATCAAAAAAGAAATCTCAAATCTCGAAACTGAGTGATCTCAGAAGATATCAACCTTTTTATTTTATTATTCTTATGTTAAAGCTACAGGGGATACATGTAAGGGTATGCTACAGACCCTGTGCCTGTGTGTGCGCTCAGCTGCTAAACCCTGCTTTGCCAAAAGAAGGGGAAACAGTCATTGAATTGCTTTCGGGACACAGTGGGAAGGAGTAAGTTAAAAAATGGTTCAGGATGGGGAAAATGAATCAGAATTATTTGGAAACTATTTGCAGCATACAAGGCAGCAGAATAAAACATGAGAGTGAGTTTCTGAGATGGAAGTAATGCAACAGCCCTTATTGCTTCAGTGATTTCATCACGGACCAATCTCTTTGAGATAGAGAGAAGCCTTTTTAGTTGAACAGTTGCATAAAAGGCATATAAAATGTTAATGACCCAGTCATCATGTTTCTTCCTCCCCCACCCCGAGCTTTGATTGGATGTGATCTGCATCATCATAGTGAATAAGAATTTCATTTCCTTGGGAAATGAGAATAATTCAGTAGCAACATCTGTAAATGACCACAGTTTTATTTTCTCCATGTTTTGCTTGCAATTCAATTTCTTTGTTAAATTAATGGGTCATTGTAAATGACTGTTTAGAGCCTTGTGTGTGCGTGTACATATCCATGCTTACGCAAAATCCTAATTTCAAAGGAATTTTTTTTTTTAATTCATGAAGTTTCATTGGAAATCAGTTCTATAAAAGGGGACACCTCAAGGCTAACCTACGTATGCCTCCAGGTCCTGCCTTCAAGCTGATAGTTAGAAACCTGCCTTTCCTCAAACAGTTTTCTGATTTTATCAGTAGATCACTGGCATAGTTGGGTGCAGTAAATTAAGTAACATGAAAAAGAACTCTGCATTGACTTTCAAATACTCGTTTAACAGTAACAATATTAACAGTGTGAAAATAAGCACCTATCCAGAGAAATCCTGGAACTGGTATCTTTTGTGTTTGTATAAAATAATCATTGAATTGTGAGTATGATCTCAGGTTTTAAGGTGTACACACATCACATAAGCCAAAGTTTTGCTCCTTTGGGGGAAAAAAAAGGACGGTGGAGGGGGGGAATCATGGTGTTTCCTTCTGACCAAACTTGCATAGGATTGCACTGTAATTGTAATTTTTGAATCTGGCTCAAAGATTCTCATTGTACTTCCTAGCAAAGATACCCCTTTCAGTGCACTAAGGAATGCAACAAGGAATGCCTTGTTGTTTTTTCATCCTTTATCTCAGTGTTTCCCAACCTTGGCAACTTGAAGACGTGTGGACTTCAACTTCCAGAATTCCCCAGCCAGCCATTCTGGGAGTTGAAGTCCATATGTCTTCAAGTTGCCAAGGTTGGGAAACACTGCTTTATCTGTTGGCTTGAAGAATAGCAGCAGGGATCTATTATAACTTTTTAAGGATCAGACTAAGCTATAGAGTCACCTAGTGACTCTTCACTGATCATTTCAGTACCAGTGTTTTGCTCTGGGGTTTTTAATTTCCTATGGATGTGATTAAAGGACAAGAGTTAAAGCATCTCCCCTCCATTTTAAAAGCCCCCCTTTTTTTAATATTCCTGCCTGGCTTCTCTGTGCCACCCACAAACATACACGCCAGTTTTCCCCAACTCTCTACACTAGCATTTTTGCCAGGTCATAATTCACCAAGACAATTTTACGGGGTCTCTAGAGCTACTCAGAGATTAGCTGCCAGAGCTGAAATATTACTATTCCTGTGATCAAATACAAAGGCTTACTCATTAAGCAACCGGCTCTGGCAGTGTTCATATCGGTGTAGGTACCAAAACAGAATAACATGGCATTTTCTGTGTGCATCTGTATATATAGCATGTCGATAAAACACACACATGCATACACACACATGCATACACACACAAGGTAAATGTTTTTAGGTAATTGTCTATACTGACTATGTATATAATCTATGACAGATTACTATATATTTTCAAAAAATTATGAAGCTACCTTACCCTTGGGTCTGAATCAGTACTGGTAATTGCTCTGTGACCATGTGTGGCAGGAATTACCTGAAGGTAAAATTGCATCCTGGCCCTGCTGTTTATTTTTAAATGGAGGTGGTCAAGTGTTTTTTAAGGTTTTCCATAGCCATCTGAATTGTTATTCTCCTTTCCTTTGGGGACAGACAAATTTCTGAAAACTAGCCAGAGGCTGGGCTACAGTCAGTGTAAAGCAGCAAAGCATCGTCATCACCTTCAGAACCCCCTCCAAATGTTGCCTGTAAATTACACTTCTTAATATGAGAGAAGAGAAATATTAGTAAATAAATGAAAAGTAATCATAATACTGGTATTTAATTAAATGTTGCTTCAATATCATCTTGGTTCTGGCTCTACCATTTTTGGGCGCTCAAAGTTCAATTATGGCTGTCAGCCTGAGTAAAATTATGTAAAGATTTAAGAAAGAATCATTCAAGGTCACTCATAAAGAGAAACTAGTACAGTAGAAGTTGTGAAATCATAAATAACTGAAAATATATGTATGTATTTATTTGGAGCAGCTTCTTAGATGCTAATGATTGGCCCTCCCTTCTCTGCCTTCCCCAAACCTGCAGATCTAATTCAATGACAAATCTTGACTCTCATGTCCTTTATCACATCTCTTTTGGAAGACACTTCTCTGCGTGTACACTTTCAGGTACATGCACTTGTTTCATCAGATCTGATGATTCTGAATTGTTAATCCTCTATCAGACTCTGTAGCCTCAGGTATGGATTAGGGAAATAAAGATATGTCATTGCTGAAGGCTGCACAAACGGCAGCTCAGTAATCTTCAGTCGCTGAGATAATCTCATTGGCTTGCAGTTTCTGTTTGAGCCATTTCAGTACTTTGAGTTACAATTTAAACTACAAAGCCCTAAATGGCTTGGGGCTGGGATATATGAAAGGCTTCCTTAACCTATCTAAATCTACTTGCCATCTGTGTAAGTCTCCCTGTAGTCCTTAGTAATGCTGTTGGGGGATCATGTCCTCTGCTTTGAGAACTATATCCATGAACAGCTGCTCTGGAGTCAACTGGTTGTGTATAAATGGATTCTTTATCATACATAGTCTGGTCAAACCGTTTAGGGATTGGTCATGACTATTGCTGGCAAAGCTTGAAGGTCCACAGATTGATATGATTTCAGGAGTCATCTCTCTAGCTCTCTTCCTTTGAGCGTGTCCAGTAACAGCATGCTCAATATGAATCAAAAAGGAAGAATTGCAACAAGGGGAATAAGTGAATTGTTTTGCTTCACAACAGCCTTCTCTGACTTGCTGCCATATAGATATTTTGGACTACAGCTTTCATCAACCTCAAACAATTTGGTCACTCATGGTAGGTGTTGAAGTCCCACAGGACTGGATGGCATCATGTTGGGAGAGTTTAACATATTATGTGTTTATTGTTTATTATTAATAGTAATAACAATACATACGTGTATTATCTAGTATTGCATTTACATTCTGCCTATTCTCTGAGAGCTCAAGGCAACATACATGGGGTCACCCTACAACAACCCCATAAGAGAGATTGATCTGGGAGAAAGTAGTGCAAAGTCACCCAGTGTCTTGTGGTAGAGGGATAATTTAACCTGGGACTCACTGGTTCAACTTCAGCATCTTAACTATACCACACTGGTTGTTTCTTATAGAATTCCATATATGGTAGGCTGCCTAACTGGAACTCCAGAAACACCACCACTGTTAACAGATGTAGATACTTCACAGGATTGTATTACTGTCTGTACTATTGTCCTGAAGTCACGATATTTTGTAATATACCAACAAGCAGAAAGGACTTTTCTCTTCAAAGCTTTTTATCTCCATCTGCTGGTTTAAACTTGTCAGCAGAATTCTCTGCAATTTGGCCAGTTCTAGTAACCTCCTTCAAGGCGGCACCTTCCAGATATGTTGGAACTGCTAGCGTGCACACCAAGCCTTCTGCAAATCACCGTCCCAGTGCCAGGTTGGGGAAAGCTGTGTTACATCATGAAGATGCTAGTACACTTCACTCAGTCACGGCAGTTCTTTCCATTTGACTAATTTTGCTTAGCTGAGAAATAAATAACGTGTGCTGTTCTTTAACAAATAGAACCTTTAAACTGAGCATTCTATGTGTTTATATACATTGTTATGTTTTGGGGAGCCTTAGCTCCTCTTAGAACAAAAGTAGGTTTTGTTATTACAGCAAAAAGGTATGAACAAACAGAAGATTCCAGAAGCAAAAAATAACCAAAACAGAGATTCCAAATTCAGGACCATAATATTTACATTTAGTGGGAGTCTCACTGAAACAGTCTGTCTTCATCTTTCACCACAGTTTGATTCTTATAGATCATCTGCTTCAGTTGTTTGGTTTGAGATGAGATGCCTTTGGATCAGCTTTTTCTAAAACTGATGCTGTCCAGAAGCATTAGACTAAAGCTCCCAGGATAAGTACCATAACTCTGGAGAGCACCAAGCTGGCAAAGACTTTGAACATACCAGGCAGATGTGCTCTGCACTATAAATTTGGATTATGTTATTTTATTATGACTTTGCTTCCGGGAGTGTTTCTGGACAATTAAGTATCCTCAAAAAGCTGTCGATTGAGCAGCAGTCATGATGAATTTTTAATTTTCTGTGACCTAAATTCAAACTGAACATATCATTGAGCTGCCTCAGACCCTCCTTATTAGGAGCATTCTTTCACTTTCCCAGGAGTGCACACATTTCTGTTCAATTTATTTATTGTTCTATTACTCTGCAGGTCTTTGAATTCATTGGACAAATTTTAACTTGCATACTTACAATGTAAGCTCATAATTGCTATTTCTTCCTTTTGTTTTAATGGTCATTTGTTCTTTTTTTTCCTTTTCCTTTTTTTGCACTTTAGCTACAAGCTCCTAGCGTAAAAGGCTTTGATTTTGCAAAGCAGCATTTAGGCCAACATAACAAAGATGACATCCTGATCATACATGAACCAACTCCTCTGCCAGGACCAAATAAGGATACTACACCCTCTGAAAATGGTGACCTCCCAAGCCCCAAGACCAAGTTATCTTCAAAGCCATCCAAGAATGTCCGACATAGAGGGAGGTCAGTTCAGAGGTTGAGAAATTGCTCAGCACGGTTTAAAGTTAATCAGTTACAAGGATATATTTTGTCCTCTGAGGCTTTTTCTCAGTTTTAATAGTATTTGCTCAGGAACTTACCTTTTATATCAGTCCCCAAGGGTTTGCTTCCTAGGCTCTTCTACTGCGTTTCTTAATTGTGGAAATTTTTCAGGCTACAAACGGTGGATGCACCAGCACATGATTTTGTGGGGTCAAGTTCTAGTGTAATATAATAATGTACCTAAACTTTATGAAGGTTCCAGCTTGTACAACAGCCTTCTCCAACGTAATGTGTAGAAAGGTAACTCCATAATTATCCAGAACAGCCATGGTTTGTTTGTTTATTTATTTATATTTCAAATTTAGATACCACCCATCTCACAAAAAGTGACTCTGGGCGG